CTCATGTATAAAGTATACATAATGTGAAGACAGTATTGGATATCATTAAATAGTGCAGAAATACCCCATTGTCTAATGAGTATGTATTTATACATTGTTTATTATTGTCAACAGAAATAACATGAAAATCTGTTCTAGGTTTGAAATCTATTTGAAATATAAAGGGCCAAGAACAGACCTTTGGGGTACATGATAAATGGGCTGTCACTTATATATAGCGCTTTTCTACCTCGGGTACTCAAAGCGCTTTACACTGTTAGAAACATTCACCCACTGATGACACAGCATCAGGAGCAACTGGGGGTGTATGTCGTACCTCACATTTTAAGAAGGACTGAAAGACATGCTGTGTTTGTCCATTTGGGTTAAGCAATGCCAGAAAAGTGATGATTTTGCATGCTCTTATTCAATTTCATTTCCATAACGCAGAATTAAAGGGTGAAAACGTGTATAAAAGTAGTCACCTGTGCTCTGTTGGTATACAACTGCTGCATGTCGCGTAGTTCAGCCAAGCCTTCACTGTAATATTTCACAGCAGTCTCATAATCTCTTTGCGCATAGGCTCGATTCCCTCTGTCCTTAAACACTGTGCGGACAAAAAGCATCAAACATTAAACAGGAAATACAACTGGCCCCACAGACAGTACAGCAACCTGTCCACCTCCCAACAGCAAATTGAAGTGGCAGGTAACAACATACCAGTGGCCTTTTTCTCCTGAGCGAGCCTCCTCTTCCTCCTGTCTTCTGCATCTCTCTCCATAAATCTCATGAAATTCTCTGGCCATGAAAAGAAAAACAATTTTGTGTCTCTCAATGTGGGGCCTCGGGTGGGATAAACAATAACAATAACACGAAAAATAAAGAAAATTTTGCTCTTCATGACAAGGGACATCCAATGTAATATTTCTTTTCATCGATCCTTACCGGCACTACTCTCAGTTTGGGCATCCTGCAAAACATCAAGAATTGTTAATATATTGTTGACAATTAAGAGATATTTAAAGCAATTTTTATGTGTGTGTGTGTGTGTATGTGTGTGTGTGTGTGTGTGTGTGTGTGTGTGTGTGTGTGTGTATCTTTACCATAGGAGGCTGAGATGGTGGGTTTGTATTGATTGTGGTCTTGTTGACTTTTGTCCTGCAGGATCCATTTAAGGCTGCAATATGGCAATCTGCCTTCTTGATAGCTTCCTGCTGGACTTCACTGTCTGATGAGTTCAGGTCCTTTACACACTTGTCTGGGGAAAACATCGTATTAAATAACCCCGTTAAGACCCTTACGAAAGAAAAATATATTTTCCAATATA